GCTCCCCGGGCCGCTGCGGGGCCGTGAGGCCTGGTTGGCTGCCGGGATGGGCCCTGCCTACCCCTCGGCAGGGCTTATCTTGGGCTTGTTTGGTCAGGTATAGGATGCGAAGGATTTCCCCTTCCCTGATTTTGTTGTAGAAAGGGAAATTACGTTTCGCCGGGGGATTTCACCGCCCTCTGCCAAGCGGGCTCGTGTCCCTGCGGCCTCCGTGGCACTGGGACACGGCTCGGGGCCGTGGGCCTGGCACAGTTCATGGTCCAACTCATCCCTTTTTAAGTGCAGAAAGGGGTGCATCTGTAGGAGAACAGTTGTTTTTGTAAATCCGTTCTACATGGCATTTGGTGACACCTCAGTGGGCACTGATGAAGTAGCTGTGCCACTCTGCAGCTCTTGGCCCTCATCTCTTGCTCTGGAAGCAGCATTGTGTTCTGTGTGCTGACTGGCAGCTGGAAGGGTCCCTAAACAGCAATGTCATGTGTAGATAGCTTTGTGAGAGTTAAAGCATATCTATGCTATTTTAGAAGACTTAGCTAAGAGCCCTATTGTTTTCAGATGTTTAATTATATTTAGAATCTAGGTATTGTATCTCACCACTGCTTTTCTTGCTCTTAAGTGCAGACTAAATGGAGGTTTTGTCCTGATGAAGACAATCTGGAACACACCGGACCACTAATGATCCAGGCTTCCTTTAAACCACAAAGGCAAGCTCTAAAATTATTGCATGACCTAGCTGTGAAAGGACTTAAGTTAGCCTTTTATACTGAATTTTAAAATTCTGCTCCCCAGCATAAAATAGGCTAGTAGATTAGTGTGAAAGGAAGTGAATGTGGTATTAATAGACTGGTGTTAGCCACTACAACGTGTGCTTGCAATAGTGCGTGGAAAGGAACTGACTAAGAATCAGTTCATGAAGTCTTAGACTGCAAATAAATATACGTCAAGATATGTTTTAAAATGTCATTTCTGACAGGAACTTCTGTAGGTGTTCTGGAGGTGTGTGTTTTCCTCTAGCTGCCATTTGCCCTCAGGGTGCTGCCATCTTCAGCAGCAAGAGAGTTTATGTCTGAAGTCCTGCTATGCATGCTAAATTATCTTTCTTGTTTTCACTGGGGAGGGGGAAGGAGCAGTACAGAATTTAGCAAATGGTAGTATCTGTTAACATCAGCTACATTCTGTAGCTGAACCCATCAAGTTAGGCCATAGAAGCACAGAAC